CCCCAAAACCCCAAAACCCCAAAACCCCAAAACCCCTAGGAAATATTTATAGTTGTAAATATTATAAAAATGCACAAATATGAGACCCTTGGAGGAAAGAAATTACCACCTGATTTCTTAACAAGGAAAAGGAAGAAGAAGGCTAAAGGAAAGGAGTCTGTTGTCCTGATTCCCTTCACAGATGAGTACTTTGAAGAACTCATGGATGGACTTTTGAAGTAAGCAGTGAGTTTGACTTTTATAGTGATGATGACCCCCAATCCGTCAGAGAGTTCCTACATGGGTGTAAAGGGAAAAGTCTGAATGAAGGGAATATTAGAAGTATGCTTTATAAATACTCAATTTCCAACCATATTTATAAACCTTTCAGAGTTTGTGTAAAGACTATTTATAATTCACTTATTCCTATTGGCACAGCACACCTGACTGCCACGAAGGGTGACGAGAAGATCAAGCTTCGGAAGTTCTATATTGAGAAAATGTGGAGAAGGAAAGGGTATGAACAAAAAGCCCTCCAAGCAATTGGGGACTACTGTTTCAAATAAACTTGACTTTTTAAAAATATATTACTCCATATTCTCTATTAATGAGGAAATGATACAGCTATGAAAGGAGGCAGGGTTTAAATTTAACAAAACAACCGCGACTGAAATTGGTGACCCTGATAAGCGCCACATCCTGTATTTTTATAAAGAGGATTATGAAACTATTTTGGCACTAGGAAATACTATGAAAGATAGTACGAAAGCTTCTTCAACAGTATTGAGTAAAAACTTGCAGAGTGAGTCAAAACTAAGCATACAAGCTTCACCGATTGGAACGATGAGATTTTCAAGCCCGATAAAATCAAACTCTCCCAAGAGTGATGTCTTGAAACTTCCCCAAATAACTTTTCATAAATTTTCAAGGTTAGACAGTAGGAGTAGTAAGGCATCGAAAATACCAATTTCATATTCTTCAGTGAATGCTTCTCATAACACTCCACTTCCAAAGATTGTGCCGCCAAATTATTATTACAGGTCAAATCGGGAGAGGAATAACGCTTTAATGGACTCAGTCCTGGCAATGGACGCCGAAATACTCAAAGAGACACAAAGCCTAGAGGAGTTGAAGTCCCAATTTAAGGAGAAATCTATTTCTCTGGGTACATCTCATCCGGTTAGCCGGATGAGGAACTCCTCATCACAATGAGATCTCTTCGATGATAAGATTAACTTCTCAATTGCTCCTAATAAGTTGCGTCAAACTCAGGAGGAGCATCCTCGAGTTTCTGACATCAGGAGCATTAAGAACTATAAGAGTATTAAAGAAATTATGAAAAGGCCAAAACAATTATAATTGATTTGCGTCAATTTTCAATTTCATTGAAAATTCTTGGGGTTTTGGGGTTTTGGGGTTTTGGGGTTTTGGGGTTTTGGGG